CCCCACATTCTTCAGCAAGGGGGACAAAGGAGTTGGTGAGCTCAGGTGAGAACAGATGGCGGGAGGCCGGAGTTGGGTGTAGGCGGGCCGGGAAGGCTGCAACTTCTGAGTACAATGGGGAAAAGGAGAGGGCGTCCCTCGGTCGGGAAGTTAGGATAAACGGGGGGCTGCGTCCCCAGCAATTTGAGAGACCCCACAGGGATATGCCCGGTGGACTCTCCCTTTATTCGAATAAAGTTTTAGGACTCCTCTGTCTCTTTTTTGGACATTCAGTTCTTGACAGCGAGATTTTCCGCAGTTTTATATAGATTCTTTTATCATTTTTAAAGTCTATACTGAAATCCTACTTACATCTGTTCAACATCACCAGCTACAGTGTCTAAATTACAAGTAATTAGTTCTATATCTTTATTTTATATTAAAGTTTGTCTCATTTAAGACCTCATAAAAATACGCTGCAATGCTCTAGATTAATCTTGATGTCCAAAGTTAGCTAAGATTAGTATGTTGGGCAAGCACACACAGTTTTTCAGAAAATACTCAATTTTAACCACAGATGTTTTAAGAACACAGCAAATATAACAGTCTATTCAAAAAAGCTCATATTTACACGAGACACTATCCTTTCATTCTTATTATGTAGGTTCAATTTTCATAATAGAACAAAAACTAAGCTACATAAGATTTTTAAGTAATATCTGCTTCAGAACTAAAACAAAAGAATGGAGGCTGTTGTATATCCCTGTCACTCATGAATATCTCATATCCTCTGGCATGAGCATATAGCTTACTTATTTCATCTATTAATGAGATATTAGTAATAGTATTTCAGCAGACTGAGAAGCACTCCAGACTTATCCTGTCTGAATTTACTGCTTATGCAAAGAGATGGTTCTGCACTTCGCTTTGTACAACCACTAATCAAGAAAAAACATTGTCCCATAATCCTAGAGCTGTACAAAAAAAAGAAAAATCCGAAAGAATCATTTCCATCTGTATGTCTTTGGAGATTTTGGAATGCATATATGAAGGAGTTTTTTGGTAATGTCAAAGACTTGAAACATTCTTGCAAGCAACATTCAAGCTAAAATTCTAGAAAAAATATCCTAGATTGTGAGCCACAGAAGTAAGCACTGAGTGTGGTAGTACAAAAAAAAAACCCAGCTGTAACAGAAATGATAAAAATTGTAATAAAATAACATTTCCAGCCTTTGCAACCTTGATTTTGACGACAGAAAATACTGTATTTAGGACATGAAGGAATAAATCTTCTGAAGAACAGAAATATTAGGTTTCCTTGGAACTCAGGCTTGAAATCAACTTTCTATATGTTCCTCTAAGAGAAAATCAGAGAAAATGGAGCTGTTGCTCATTTTGTCTGGCAGCAGCCAAGAGGTTAATCAGAAGCAGATGGTTCTGGACTAGTGGGGAGTGGGGAGGATGCTGATGGGGAAGTGTGCGGGTCACACGTGGTGGCATAGTTCCTAGAGGAAGTAGCTACCTTATCTACTGGAGTGACATAGAAAAATGACATGGCGTTTTATTTGCTGCTGCTATGGTCCTTGGGCCACGATAGATGCAGAGTGCATATGCACTCTGTGTTCTTACTGGCAATATCATTTGCAGCAAATGCCATGCCTCGGTTGTACGCTGTGTGTATGTAGAGAGGCAACTTCTACAGAACCTTCCTATCCACTTTGTAAGATCTATGTTTTAAAAGTGTGCCAATAGCAGATATGCTTAATTAGCTAATGAGTTATATTAAGGCTGAGTAGTAGATACAGTGTAGAAATCTTACGAGCACAGAGCAGAATTAACATGTCTACTGGGATGCAATGTTTCTTTTACAGAACTAACTCGAGTATAACACTGTCTTTTAAACATGGCTGCACACTTCTCTTAAGAAGGCAAAAAAATAAAGTCAAACAAATCATGAATATACATAAACACCACGATACCTCTATACAATGCCATAAAACAAACTAGCCACCACAATCAAGCTTTATTAAAAAAAAAAAAAAAAAGAGTTGTTTTAAGGCATAGGTTGGTTTTAAATTCTGCTTTATGTTAAAGAACTAAGGTAGATAGATATTTCAAACAACAAAATCTGCAAATAGGCTATCAGAGAAATCATTCATTGTAAAATTAAGCTCTAAACACAGCACTAATTAAAGATCTCCTACCCACTGTCCAGAAGGTAATCACTAGCACTCCAAGCACAAAACATATCAGTGAAAACATCTGTCTACTGTGATGATCTTGATGCAACCAGAACCTGTTCATCTCAAAGCAAGTGAAACATGAAGAATCTATTCATTCTAAGCACGACTTTAGATAATTAATAAAAGAACAGCAAACAGGCAAATCTTATATAACTCAGTAACTCATTTTCTATCAGACTACTGCAAGAAATGTAGGGCCCACAACCAACAGACAAGTACATCTACCAGCGATAAAACTAACAAGAGCAGGGAGACGGGATTACTGAGAAGCAAAGATCTTTCTATGCAAAGCACTGTCTGACAGCTTACATATTCATATATAATTTATATTTAGACACAAAGGAAAGAAAACTTGTGGGATGAAGAAAGGAAATAAATCCCACGACTCTTAGTCCATATTTGTCTTTAATGACCATCCATCACAAAGACCAAAAAGATTCAATCCTTTATGTATACACAGCAAATTATACTTTCAAATAAAAGAAGTGCTAACCAGATGTGCTTCCCAACATTTTCTGAAGTGAAGTACACCTACAGCTACATTCAGATGCATTCACAAGTAAGTAATTCACAAGTATTGCCATGCATAAAAGAAACTAACCAGAAGGGAATCTGAGGTCTAGCAGAGGCTCAGTGAAAGCTCTGCACTGGATATACACAACTTGGCTAACACTTCCCTTAAACTCATTTCTGAAAGCCACAAACCCCAGCAAGTCTCATTTAGCATCCTATCTAATGAGGAAATAGAGGAGAAATTTAACTCAAAACTATGACATACAAAGAAAGGAGAGGAAAAATAAACACTGAAATTATTTTTATTAGTGTAATGTTCATGTGTTATTTAAATAGTTAATGATGCTGACATTGTCAGATTATAGATAATGATATAACTGCCTCAAAGTGTTAACGCTTGTTGAAAAGGAGTAAAGAAGTAGTGTCAGAGTGATGGCTATGTAATTCCTACCATGGTTGTGTGATTCCTGTATTAGGAAAAAATATAGTAAGCGTTTGTACTCTATCATGCTTGTTCTAAGTATAATATTTTCTGAAATAGTACTTTATGGAAGAAAAAAAATGATCGTTTCCAAGTACTACCTTTTTTAAATTTCGCTTTGTTAAACAGTGAATTAAAAGTGAAATGAAATTCTTTGGTTTCCAATATTATAGTCACAATTATTAGACTCCCTTAAAATGTACAGAAATAACCTGAAAATTGTGTGTTTTTTCCATTTCTGAATAAATACTAATGGAAATAAAGCAATATATGTGCCAGTAACACTTCTGCTCGCAAATCAGCTTAATATCCAAACACTTTTACTCAAAATAAATGGGGGTAAGCTGAAATATATGGATCTGGCCTTACTTTATTTTGTCCCTGAACTTCCAGGAAAATCAGGATATTTTTCCTAATTTAACTATATGGCATATTTGCTCAAATATACACCCTATCTCTTGCCTTTCCAACAGCTAGCAGGTATTAGATATTGTGATGGATGCAATAACCATGGTAAGGAATATAAAATCAAATATCCTTTATTTAGGGCAATGTTCCAAAGGTTTTGTATCTTTTATGTGTTTATTAGGCACAGAAAAAATACCTACTTCTACAACATTTTTAATGAGCCTTCTTACTGCTTGACCAGATTTTACATAATGTGTACTGCCAGAGAGCTTTGTTTTTCCCTGGAGCTTTGTGATCTCTCCTATTGTTTCTAAATCTTCTAATTCAAGTAGCTTTATGTATTTCCCTGTGGATGTACCTATAGTTACTAGTCCATTATGTTCTACAAGGGCTCAAACAATGTCTGAGTTCAGATTACAATATTCTTACTGGCCTTGAGCCAATCTGCAAAGGAATGAAGGTTGAGCTATGCAATTTCCTTCTGCAAAGAGTTTTAAATAAATTGTTAACTGAATTCAGAATTCCTAGAAGACTCCAGCTCATGTCAGATCAATGTGCACACAATGAGTTGGGTACAAATGAGTTATTCCTATTAGTGCTCATATTAGGATATTCTAATAAGAGTATTCTAGCATATACTTTTCATACACATATGTGAGAACATTCAGTTTGACATCGGCATCTACAGTTCATTTAATTAGGATAAAGGCAGACTTCACTGTAGGCCTGCAAGAGTGAACAACAGCAAAAGTTCTGACTGCCACTAAGAGAAAAAGTAAACTTAAACGTTTAAATGGTGTAAGAGAAACAGAAAGTGATTTTGACAGGTATGAATGGAAGCAGCCAAATGAATGATAGATTCAGTTTTCTAATGAGTTATCTTTTGTTGTTTTGTACTAAGGGAACAATACAATTCACTTACTGGATCAAAAACACATTGTCATGCAGTTTTTGAAATTCCGAAAGGAATGCAGAATTACCCACGTATGACAGAAGTATTTCTTTGTCATGCATCGCATTGTTCCTCAGTTTTTAATTAAATGCATTCTGAGCTCCATCTGAAAACACTGGGCAATCAAGAAACTATTGGTGAACACAAACTCTTCCCCAGTAGCCTTGTGCCAGTGAATCTGAATACTAATTGCACTTCATTAATAACTGCTTACTTCAATGAAAATCAACACGAATTCAAATCAATGATATGGTGAAATTGCACATACTCTGAGGAAACCTGGGTGGGTTGTCGTTGACATCAGTGAGTGTGATATTCACAGTTGTTGATCCTGACAGCCCTCCGACCTGCCCAGCCATATCTTTGGCTTGAATGACAACGGAATAGTGCTCTCTGGCTTCCCTGTCCATGTTGTGCAACGCAGTCCTGATGACTCCTGTGGCGGGAGGAAAAACAAACAAAAAAAAGAGAAAAATCAGAGTTAGTTTCTTATAACAAAGGAAAAGGCTGGGCATGAGAGATTTTCTGGAAATGCAAATCTTTTCTACACACAAAATAGGCTGTTTCTAGCTCCCTGTGTACAAACAACTAGCAAATAGTGGATTACATACTGCAATACACAGAGATGCTTGAGAGTGCTCCACTGCTTTTTTTTAATGTAACACCGCCAGATGCTGCAGGACAGTCAGCTTGCTTGAGAATATGAAGAATTTAATATATATTACAGTGTATAAAATGGTATATTAATATTTAATCCGACTTACATAACATTGTTAGCCAAAAGCTACATTGACAAAAGTCTAGTGTTTTTTGATACATAATAATTGTTTAAGTAACTGCTTTACAGAATTATTAATGAATGGGAAATCATGTCTCACTGAAGAAGCATCAAATTCCTTTATTTAACAAAAGTTATTTTCTGAACACAATGTGGCATTCCTCCTAAAACTCCTAATTAACTCAGTTAAACATTGTTTAACAGAAAAAATAAAATTATATGAAATGTTACATTTATTAATAGCAAACTCTCAAAACCCTAAACGTTTAGGTATAACTTAGTTTTTAACTTGGGTGGTTGTTATAACTGATAACAAAATATAGCATAGCATGATCAACTTCTGTTTCTGGGAAAATTTTAACTATGTAATAGGCATTAAAAAACATCAACTGAGGAGGAGGAGTCCTGATCTTCCAAGTAATCTTTTGTACTGTAAAAGTCTGTGATTCACATAATATCAGATTATCCAAAAACAATTTCCAAAATATTACTTTTGTTGTATTTTAAATGATTTGCATGTCTTCAGCAAAACTGACGAGAAATTATTACAAGAGAAATGGAGATTTTCATCCAGTTTATATTATTCTTTCCATTCTACTCTAAAATTGATTACATTTATAAACAAGCAGATTATACACAAAGAATAATATTTAAACTGTGTATTCTCTATTTTATTTCTATTTGTACTCTAGTTCCTTATGAATTTCACAAAATGGAACATCTGTCTTCTATAGAACTTTCATAATTATATTAGTTATTGAAGTTTTGAAATTGTTTCATATAAACAACAATCTCTCTGAATTACAGTTCCTTCCTGCTTGCCCTTTGCTCCAAGAGGGTACACTCTTCTGGAATGTTTATGAGGATGTGTGGAACAAAGTAATCACTAATCTCCTGTTCTCTCTTGCTTGCATCATGTTCTTTACTTCAAATGAAAATGAGCAAGTTTTAAATTCTAAATACTTGACCCAGTATCTAGCATAAGAGATGTGAAGGGCACTCAGCTGAATGGATCTCCGGACTGCTGAGTCCAGTCATACCAAGATCCCTCTTAAAATTGTGTTAGAGGTATTTTTCCACACCTTCCTACATTCATCTCTTCTGTACCTTTCTACATGGAAGGTTTTCCCAAAACTCCCATCAATTTCAATGGCTCTTCTTTACCCCAATACATCACTAAGCTACACCCTCACCTCTTTTCAGTTTTTGCTGCAGAAGGCTAAAAAAATTAAGTTCTTTTGGACCTCTCTTGTGATTTAGAATCATCTCTGATAATTCTGATTCTGGTAATTTAGAATCTCTGATAATTTCTTTAGTCTTAGACTGCATATTTTCCAACCTGAATTTAACTTCCCCACATATAGATAATGAGAATCCTCACTATGTTACATGACATAGTTTATTCATCTGTGACTCATATATCAAGGAATTTCTCCTCCAACAACACTTCCAAATTAATGAGACTGAAGTTACTACATATCGTCTTGTAATTAGTCCTATAACACGGCCTTTAACTTAATATTATTACATTTCATTCCATTCTTACTGCTCTTAACCTCACAGTCATAAACTCTTCCTCTGTATTGACTCACAATGTTTAGCCATCAGGAAATTTCAACAGCCCAGGCCTGCGTTTATCCTCAAAACATCACACAAAATTTACTGAGAAGAAAATTGAAGTGTCAGGCTCTGAAAAAAGATTGATATTTCTACGACTTTGGATATCTTATTTTCTTTCCCCTTTCCCATCACCTTTGGATTTGTGAAAGCCCTAAAAATAAATATTTTTTGGCATGTTCTACTTCATTCTCCGCAAACCCATTCCTGTTACTGAATCTCAATCAATTATTATTTTTTTTCCCCAGGTTTTGTTCTTGTAAGGTACTTCTGTATTCTGTGGCATCTAATGATGCACTTCATTATCATTTTTAGGGTTCTGTGTAGAAACATTTTATTAGCATGTAGGTACATCTAAAGGCTCAGCCGTAACTGGGACTGTAAAGATCAGGATTTTTAAAATTCAGTTATTAAGAAAAGGTCCACCATAGCTCACAGCGAAGTATTTGACTATACTTACACAGCACTTATCTGGTGAATTTGAAGAAATTCATCAAAAAACTATTTTATATTCAATAACCAATGGTCTTTTAACTTTCCAGTTTAACAAACTCAAGCTGGGAAGTCTGTTTCCAGGGGAGATGCGAGACAGCATCTTTCCCAGCTACTGTTAAAAGTGTATGGTGTTAATGCATTAAACACATATAAATCTGCTTCTTTCCAAATACAGAAAGGATGTAGCTCTTTTCTATATCTCTACTAATAATGTTATCGTCTTCACCTAGTCATGATCCTATCATTGTTATATTTCCTTTTTTTTCCCCTCTGCCTTGTAACAGCCTTCCGAAAAAAAGCAGCCTTCTAATCTCCATTAAATTACTATTAGCTTCCAGTGCCTTCAGATTTCTTTATCAATGTACTCCACAATTTCTAAATGCTATATTTCCTTAGCCACTTCGTTATTCACAGATAGTCTAACAACCTTCATGGTCCTGAGGCTGAGCCATGATTATTATTCTTCATTAATCTAATCCTCTTTCCAGAAGACTCAAACTAACATTATCTAGGTTATAACTTCAGAAAAAATATGAAAATTCCACCATTTTTTTTGAGGTGCAGATTCTGAAAAGTTGTCATTAAAGGCCTGATTTATGTGTTTTCCAGAATACATTTATCAAATTGCTATGCCCTTCTGAATACATGTAAGTTGGTTCTTTTGAAATATTAATTGTATGTGATAAATTCCTAAGAATTTTCAGAAAACAAAATAAGAGTTAAACTTTCTTTCATGGAAATCCTCTATCTGAAAGTTTTGACCACTCCTAAAATTGCTTCTTTGTTATTAAGGATTTTATTTTTCTCCACTGAAAACTATTGGAGATGAAAAGTGGAGGACTAAAAGAAAGCCTTAATAAGATTGGCTTAAATAAAAAATAGTCATGTATCTGGTAGAAACATGCCACTATATACTAGTTCTCTGCATACGTGTGCATGATAAAGTCTTTATTCAATTTAGAACAGAGATTACTAAAATGGTCTTGCACTCAGTGGTCATTTCCATTGAATCAAAACCTGAAACAGTGACATTTCTACAGTTCTGAAGATACATATGGTTAGGTGCAAACAGGGTTGCATGGTCAAACTCTTCATCTTAAACAATCAAATTCTTGATATCAAAATGGGATGTGTTACTACCATTGCAGGAGGTGTGCCCTGCAGGTAAAGCAGCATGAGGTATGCCTGAAGGAGTGTAATGCTCCTACTGTGTTGAAATTTAATTTTTCTTTTTTTTTTTGACAATTCATTTAAAAAAGTGTTTAAAAGAAACAAAGATTCCGTGTTCTAATCAGAAAACAAAACAAACCACACAAAAACAACATAAAAACAAGTTGGTGATCTGTTTACTCAAAACTGATAGTGAATGCTGGCTGTATAAATAAGTATTTACAGTAGTATGCTTAAAGTAGCTACAACATATATCCAGATACAGATATATTGGACTAACAAATAACCTTACTGTTGCCTGGATATGGAAGATTTCTCCGTAACAGATTATTTTCCAAATAGGCAGCCAAGCAAATGATATCTACGAAGATAAGGCAAGGGCTCAGAAGGGTGGAGGGGAGGAAATTACTCATTAAGGGTGATTTCTTAAGAGTATAAACTTCTCAGGGGTATATTTAATCCTTGGTAAGAAGGAATAGCCATATGACAAGAGATGAACAAAACAATTAAGTAAAAAGTGGATGCATTAAGTAGGAAGGAAATCCCATTTGGCAAAAAAGACAGAGCTTAGAACTAACTGAAAACAGCCTGCTTATATTTACAAATTTGACAATGCCCCTCTCTTAAAATATCAGTCATTGCTATCAGTAGCAAACACTACATGTAATAATGCCACCTACCTATTCACATTAAATTTATTTAATCTGTCATTTGAATTAAAAAGGTAATATAAGAGCTGACAGTTAAAGTGCTTATATTTCATATCAATATTAATATTCATAGCAATATCTATTTCATATTAATTATAATATATTTCACCCAGAATCCACAGCTCTTCAGTACTTCCTTAGTAATGGAAATAAAAACAAAGATGGAGTCATAGACTGAACTTCACATTTCTCACCAATTACTTATTAAATTAGACTAAATTAAATTTAACTTTTTGTCTTCAATAAACATACTGTAATGTATCTAAATATTTGGAGGTAATTAACACAATTGCCCATAATGCTGAATAATATTGTGGTTTCTATTTAAAGCAGGTCACTTCTTTGATATTAGGGACAAAACGAGAGACAAAGTTTACAGACATGAAAAGAAAGCTCTCAAATAGGGTCAAAATTGCATCCTGATAACTGAAAACTGAATGTAACATACAGTCTTGGAAAGAGCCTACATTTGAACAAAATTTCATGTGCTGATTAATTACAGATTGCGTCTAGATATTTCAGGTAATTCAAGTATATTGATAATTCAGCTTGCTTGGCCAACAGACCAAGGATGTGTTCTTTCCTCCTCATGATACTTA